TCGTTGGAACAAGTGCGCCAACACCAGCGCCGACCTCAACAAGCTTGACCTCTCAAACCTACGATGATGGGTCATGGCATACAACTTATCCATCCTGGAATGGAACCGTGATACGGCGTTACTCTCGCGAACAATAGCGAAGTTTTCACAACCTCGAAACACTCTGAAGTTCAGTTGAGATGGAACGGGAATAGGGGGATATAAGTATGCTTTGAATTACGCGAGTAGAAGAGGCACATGCAACGAATCAAAAGAACGACATACGACGGCTAATGTACGAAGTAATGTATTGGGATCTGGATCTAGGCGGGCATCTGGACTGTGGTACCACGGAAGACACCAACGCGGACCAAGCGCTGGAACGGTTGGACTTAGCATCATGTGCGAAGAAGAGGGAGAAAACGAGCAAGCCCCAAGGCGTGTATCCATAGATCATATCATAGGTAGTTAATAATTGAGTTTCTGTATTCAACTGTCTAGATGCCTTATGGTCCTCATAGCACGATTCAATACCAGCTGATGTCAGTCCTCGACATTCGTTATTATGCCACCAAATGGGAGATAAAGGGGCTTGCGCGGAAAGATTATGTTGAATAAAGAACCACCCCAAATTACCCGTTCCTCTTCCGGCTCCGACAACAAAGCAACTATCCTAGAACCTGTAAGGGAAGCCCGCCTAAGTGATAATTCGAAAATTGCCATCCTCATAATCCGTATGAGCAAATGTAGTCCATCAAGAGACAAATTTACATGAGATAGCCGTATCAGTACAGTTTCTCCTATCTCGTCTACTTACCTGCCCAAGGTGTACTGCCAATAGCAGTAGACCAGCCGGACCGCGAAAGCCCCTCACATCATATAAACCCACGCGCCTCTGGTCTTTCACACACACAGAGGGAGAGACACACACGCTCTCTCTGTGTCCCACATTCTCAACCATGTCTCAGGTCGACGAACCGCCACACATCAACATCCTCCAGGAAGAAGTCCACCAAACCGTATCGGCCGTCGGCCCGGCCGTCTCCGTCTCGGGAGGGTCCTCCTCCTCCTCCCCCTCCTCTATCTCAGGCGGGCTCGTCGGCATCATCATCTTCCTCGTGCTCCTCCTAGCCGCCAGCGCCATCGCCTTCTTCTTCATCCGCCGCCACTTCCAGAAGACGAACAAGGAGAAGGAGCGGGCAGCAGGAGGCGTCCTACCGACGGCATCTACGTCGACTCAGACGTCGCAGACGTCTCTGGCGATGAGCAAGGCTGCCATCCCCGCGTGAAATCCGCCCCATCCGTTTGTTCATCGACGCGCGTCTGTGTCTGTCTACACATGTGTTCGGCGAGGAAAACCTTTTCTTCCGATGCCCAATCTGATATGCGAGCAAAAGCGAGCGAGCGGATGAGCCGATAAACCGCTTCTCGAGCCTGGCCATGGAAGAAAAGGGGTTGTGGACGGGGGCATGCTTAACTACTTACTGATGTAGCCTTCGTATTCGCCACAAGCGCTGGTAGTCAGGGTAGTCAGTCGATAGCAAAGCTTCCCTATTCGGACCAATATCGCCGGACTCTCCTGGATTTGGTTTGGGACTTACTCGAAAAAAGCTACCAAGGCAGTAGGGGATAATGACCACCGTATTTCCATAACGAGGTTTTGGGATCAGGGGAAAAAACAGGATACCTATGAAGCCGGTATTGGAGAGGAGGTATGTTGAGCCGCGTTGGCAACTGTGAAACCCACTCCCCCCTATTCTAGCTCAAGGACACCAGCATTACATCAATCAGCTAGCTCCTTTTTGTACAATTATGTCGCTTATAGTCTGTTACATGTCTTGCAAGGTGTCCTGAATAAATGGCAGAAGGGGACGACATCTACAGTAGAACTTCTATACACTGTTTTAAATATTGCTAGCTAGATAGTACTTGCAACTTCTGTGAGGGTAGTTTGATCATCAAAATGCATAGCCCATCCGCCCATTCGGCTGCGTATCTTCATATAGCAGATAGTTACGTCTAGTACACAAAACCATGTTATGCAGCAGCTAATATCTCATTTATGTACATATATCCACCATACCGAACCACCACCACCACCACCACCTTTTCCAACTACCCCCATTTCCAACACTTCAAAACCGGCACCTAGCTAGTTAGCTATCTAGAACCTCCCACGCCCCCCCGGGAGGAGCTTGACGACGGCGCTCCCGTTCATAGGGCGACTGACGACGATAGCGCTCTCGAGCTGCTCGGCGCTCAGGCCCCTTCCGGCGTAGTACCGGGTCAGCAGGGCCTCGCGCACGTCCGCGACGCGGTCCTCGGCCACGAGGTGGACGCTGCAGCCGCCCCAGCCGGCGCCCGTCAGGCGCGAGCCGTAGCTGCCGGCGGCGCGCGCCACCGCGCACAGCTCGTCGATCTCCGCGCAGCTGCACTCGTAGACGTCGCGGCACGAGTCCTGGGTCTCGTTCAGGAGCGCGCCCAGCTTCTGGTTGTACGCCTCCGTCGTCGCCGTCCCGCCTGACGATAGGTCCGGGTGCTGCGACGGGTCCTCGAGCAGGCTCAGGAACTGCAGCACGCGCAGCGCCTCGGTGAACACGTGCTGCGCGCGCTGCCGCAGCTTGAACCGATCGCCGGGGACGCGCACGGGGAAGCTCGACAGGAAGCGCGCGCGCACGTCCTCGACGGAGGTGCCGACGGCGGCGGCGATCTCCTCGATGGTGTAGCCCTCCTCCTGGGTGAGGGTGGCCTTGTTCAGCTCGATGAGCTCCTTGAGCTGCTCGGGCATCGTCTTGTCGGCGTTGTCCGCCCCGAAGTAGTTGAGGTGGAAGCCGCGGAGGGAGACGCCGAGGGGGCCGGCGTCGCGGGGCAGCTCGGTGCCGGGCGGGCACAGCTTCGCGTTCAGGTAGGCGGCCGCCAGGCTGCACTCGACGACCCGGAGGTTGTAGTGGATCGGCCCCGTCTCCTGCTTGTTCGACGTCACGAAAGACTGCGCCACCAGGAAGCACAGCTCCGGGTTCGTCCGCGGGAAGTACACCGGCCGCGCCGACAGCGACGGCGTGAACGAGACGAGCAGGGCCGAGCCCCGCTCGGAGAAGACTGAGGCGGATTGGTCCATGCTGGAAAAGGTGTGTGAGTGAGCGCAAGTTTGTAGTTACCGTTATAAACGATGAATTGTTCACGAAAGACAGGGGAAAGGAGGGGGGAGGGGGGATTTCTGTTCTTACCCTCCAGAGTTGACGCCAACGGCTCTCTCACTGACGATAGCGACCTCGGTCAGGTCCTTCTTGTCGACCTCGGTCTCCCCGTTGGCGATCATGACGGCCAGAGCGCTCGTGCTGACGAAGGCGGCGCTGGAGCTCAGGCCGCCGCCGGCGGGCACGGTGCCGTCCATGAGCACGCGCATGCTCTTGGGGCGGAAGCCGGCGCCGTGCTTCTTGTGGAGCAGCTCGAGGGCGCCCCGGAGGCCGGACCGGAAGTAGTTGCTCCACTCGTGCTGGGTGGCGTCGATGTCGACGGCCCCGTAGGGCACGTCGAAGTCCCGGGCGGGGAAGCGCGCCTCGTCGACGTTGGCGATCTGGATCTTGTAGGTTCCGGACCCGGTTCCGCTGTCGTCCGAGGCGGGCTCGAGGTTCTTCTCGGCCGACACGGCGAGGATGATGTCGGCCGTCATGCCCATGGGCAGCACCGAGTACAGCGAGTAGTCGATGTGCTCGCCGATGATATTCACGCGGCCCGGCGACCGCGCCACGAACTGGGCCGGCGCGCCGTACGTCGCCTGGAACCTGTCAAGGAGGCGGTTCCATCGCGCCGTCTGCTCGGCCACGGCCTGCTCTGTGTATATGTCCTGCAGCGCAGTGACGGTCGGTACGGGGCCGGACATTTTTTTTTCTTGTTTTCTCTTTTTCTCTTGTGTCTTTTCCTAATTTCTTTTCTACTCTTCCCCGCAGCTAGATTGACCCTTCACTTCGCTAACTTAGACTGAATAATGGCGGTTTTTTGCTAGGAGGAGAAGCTTTCTGTGAAACGAAGGGGATGGTTTAAAGCGAATGCCCCGCGTCGCGAACCAGGAAGTCGGAGCTGGTTGCTGCTGCCCCGCGCTAGTAACGTGTGTATGTACAGTAAGTTTAATATCCCAAAGGGAGGTACCTAAGATATACTCCGTTCGGTGAAAAGATACAACGATTTACTGTGTAGCTCGTGCTGGGTACGAAGTAGGTAGTGCCTATATGTAGGGGTTGGGTATAGAACTGTTTGGAGCTGTTACAATTGCGAATAAGAACTGACCCTAAATAGTTATAAGTATCCAGCTTTATTCTAGTTAGTGACTCCTGAATGCCCTGCTATTGTCGCCGCCATTGCGAAAATTCGGTTGTATCATGAGAACCTGAAGCACCCCACGAACATGTGGTGCTTCTGTAGTGCTTCTCCGGATTCCGTCATACCTGCCTGGTTCGGCTAGGCCTGTGTTCCCCCGCGTGGCATTCTGCGCCGAGGATTTGGCCGTAGGGGTACAGGGGCCGAGGGGTGGTTGGCGCGCGTCTTAAATTGGTGGGTTTTTTGCTGCGAATTTCCACTCGTTATCGTTGTGCTGTTAAGGGTGAGCAGTTACCTAATTCACACTGCATATGTTTGAAGTATACAAAGTATGCAAAGTATTATGGTTTTCCATCGGGAAGGTAAAAGCGGTTGTCGTTTCTCGTTCTCACTTAACTTGTTCGAGAAAATATGCAGAAGAGGTACAGAGGCAGAGGCAACGGGTAGGGCCGGGACGGCGAGGTTTCTTCCAGGCCCTCAGCCAGTGCCAACACGCGAATCGGAAAGCTTCGGGTTAGTTAAAAGGTTCCCACTACGAACAATGCCACCATTTTGATCAAGTTCATGTTACGGCATAACAATAGTGAAGGGCTCTGAATAGTCGTTGCGCATGTGAGAAGTATGAGAAGAAATGTCGCTTCCGACTTCATAAGAAAGGGGCGGGAGGTGAAGGGGGCAGGGGGCAAAAATAAGAGGAAAAAATTTGGCCGCGGCAGGAATCGAACCCGCCCCTCTCTCAACAGGAAGAGAAGTAGTAAGAATAATGAGTGATGTTTGTGAGAGTGTGCAACCATTACACCACGCGGCCCTTGTTACTATGGGGGAAAACTAATTCGATAGTTATAGAAGGGTGCCGGCTTACTGTATCTCATCGACATAGGGTTGGAAGTTGAACCTAGTAATTAGCCTTCAACTATACCTATGCTTGATACCAATGGCGTCAGTGCGCAAGTGCTGTGTGCCTACGTAGTATGAGTGGCGTTATGCACTTGGGTGAGACTCACGATTGAACCTTAGTTGCTTGAGTATAGGGCAGGTGGAAAGCCAACTCAGTCATATACTAGCATATTCCCATCGATAGAAGAGTGTGTCTTCTACGCTACGCTCATATGATAGAGGATGTCATGAGACAGCTTGCAGAGTTACATGGTGACGTTCTGCTTGCCGATATATTCCAGCATCCCACGGCGGTGAAGGTAGTTCGGTACTTACAAGGTCATATATGGAATTCAACTCGATATCTAGCAACCATCAACTCTTGGAGGTGTGCTGCAAGTGGTCGATATTTATCAGAGTATGATCCCGGCGTGAGACGGCATACTCATTCTGGTACCCGTGGATAGGGGGGCGGGAATCGACGCTCCCGAGTGGCTCTTCAGATATATCACTGGGCTAACCGGAGATTCGAGAACAAGCGGGTACGATACCCGAAACACTCCATGGAGGGTGCCAGTTCCGTTATTGGAAAGAGATGATGAGATGTTTATGCCGTCACAACGGCCTGCTTCCAATCCCAGGTTTGATAGGCCTGACGAGCTGGCATCCCTGGACCATGGCCGTCGAAACATTGGCTCTTTGATATCCTTGTTGCGCTCCTTATTTGCAGTTGGACCACGTCTCTGCTTTGCAACCATCATGATGTATACCCATATGAAATGCTCATACACTATCCCGCATACACTACCCCAACCTATCATGTTTTCCCTCAGTGCAGTCCGGATAAGACACATACTTGGCTCTCGCGGCAGTTGGGACGGTATGTGTGTCGTCTATTCCAAGAAATGCCATGGCGGTAGGCAAACGCCACCATATAAAGCACATGGTCAAGAGAAGTGGGAGATATTGCTTCTCTATCACCCTCTCATTCATTTACACCCAAATCTCAACCCCCCATTTCCGCACCTCAGATTCACCAGCTACAGCAAGAAACAATGTCGAAGTCCACGGTGTGGTATTGCGTAAGTTCCACCCATCTCGGGACCAGTGTTGGGCACCAAGCTGAACATAATAGTGCCATTGTAGCGAGGGACCTATGTCCACGGCACTGAATGCTATCTGCGTCTCTGTTAGCTGCACACACCACCGCTGTGGCCGGTGCCGTGTCGAGACGTCATCGGATGCCAAATAGTATTCAGGCTCTTACAGCCGTCTCGACTAGTGTCTTCCACTACAAGCAAATACTTCGAATATCCCAGGAAGTTTCGAATGTTACTGTTGGCTCAGACATTATGCTTGAGTTTGGACTTGGAACGCGGATGAATTGCGATGTTGTATATGAAGGGCTGGAGCGCTATTTACGAATGACCAATACTATATATTCACGCCATCAAAAACTGCATGCCTTCTTTCGTGAATCTCGATGTGAATTAATGCTCAAAGTGAGGTTGATTGCCAAATTCCTACCTTTGACGTTCTAGTGTTGTAACACGGTCCGAGGTTGTGTTTTCGAAAAAGGAGATGAATATACCGCATGGTATAGGAAGTACACATATGTTTTATTATACCATGAGACTTGTTTCGTAAAGCTTCTTTTCCATTCATCACTTAGTTCTCTTATGCTATGAAAAACATAACTACTACGTACTACGTTTTGATTAGCAATCCATAAAGCCGGGAAGGAAAAAAAAAGATGACCTTAGCAAGTGTATATTATATTACTTTATACCACCGACTTGGTGCTTTCCTTTGTTACTTGTTCGTTATGCTGGGGCCCTTGGTATGGCTATATGGAGATACCCCTTCTTTGGATAGCTATCCCGAGTGACTTGTTAGAAGGCTGGGGCCCTGGGGCTGGATTCGCAACTCCTATTTCTCCCATTTCTCCTATTAAGGGGTGTTGGATCATATATAGGATACACAAACAGGTGATGCATTGCGGGATGCAGAAGGTTTGCTTTAATCGAAATTTTACTATTTGGTATACTATGTACACAGGAACAACTGCATACAAACAAAACGACCGCCCACAATGAAATATGCGCCAGGTTTGATTGCCCATCCGTGGATGCTGGTTGTAAAACTGAGAATCACTTTTGAATCGTTCCCGTACTTTTATTTTAATCTTGTTGCCGAGACTCGGAGCCGCCGACGTCTTCGCCATCTTTTTTGGTTTCCTCTTGGTAATGCCAGGTAATAGAAGAATTATGGAATCAAATAACCGCTAAACACCGATGCTATGAATGGCACCGGAAGCACTTAACTATGCAACCCACACGTTCTCGTGCTCATAAGCTCTCTACGCTTCTTGTCCTTGGCTAGTTTTGAAGTTAGTTAACCATATCTCTAGATGGACGTGGAGTAATGATGGTGACTTACCTCCATCCCAAAACAAGAATTCATGTAAGCCGGAGCCTGCAGGTACCATAGGTAGCACAGGAACCTTCTTATCCGTGATGACCTCTAAAAGGGCCGGTCCATCAGTGTCGATGAGCCACTTGAGAGCATCCACAGTCTCCTCAGGTTTCGAAACTCTCCGGTGCTGGACGCCCATGGCATCAGCTAGCTTCATGAAGTCGGGGTTCTGTTGGTGGGTATGAGCGTAGCGATCCTCGTAGAAGAGGTTTTGCCATTGTGTAACCATCCCTTGTTCTTCGTTGTTCAAGACGATGACCTTGACCCCGATGTTAAATTGGGCAGCCGTTGAGAGCTCGGTGAGAGTCATATTGAACGAGGCATCCCCGTCAATATCGATAACCAGCGCATCAGGTCGAGCAACCTTGGCACCGATAGCTGCGGGAAGTCCGAAACCCATGGTACCGAGACCTCCGGAAGTGACCATGGTCCGGGGATGACGCCATCTGAAGTGTTGGGCTGTCCACATTTGATGTTGACCCACACCAGTTGTTATGACGGTTTCCTGCTTCCGTTCGCTGGTCAAGTTGCTGAGTTCCTCAATAAGAGTCTGCGGCTTGATGAGGCCCTTTCTCTCGGCACGCTCATATTCGCTCATCGGCCACTTCTTCTTCCACTCAGCGATCTTACCGAACCACTCCTTTCGATCCGCCATGCTCGTCTTGTTGACAAAGGGGACAAGCTGTGTTAGGCTTTTGGCAACATCACCTTCAACTGCCTCCGTAGCCTGCACAACCTTGTTGATATTCTTTGCCATAATCTCGAAATGCACGATACCACCCCTGCCCTCCGCAGCTGCAGCCTTTGCAGCTGGAGCAAATTTGCCAATGCTGAGAGTCACACGATCATCAAATCTACTGCCAAGAGCAATAATGAGATCAGCCTCTTGCATGGCCATGTTGGCGAATGCTGAACCGTGCATGCCAAGCATATAAAGTGACTTCTCATCCAGCTCGTCGAAGGCACCAAGACCGTGAAGGGTGGTCGTGACGGGGATCGATGCCTTGTCAGCGAGTTCCTTGAGCAACTCAGGGCCACCTGGTGATGAGATGATACCTTGGCCAGCATAGATGACGGGCTTCTTGGCAATGTTGATCAGATCGGCTACCCGGCGGATGGAGGCTGTGAGGTGCTTCTGGGTGGCTTCCATGGCGGCACGCGATGCAGCACTGGGCAGGCTCGGGATCGCAGATTCGGTCGGGATGGCTCTCCTCAAAACACTAGCGGTAACGTCCTTGGGAAGGTCGACCAGTACGGGCCCTGGTCTACCACTAGTCGCAATCTCGAAAGCTTCGTTTATCCTCCGGGGCAGCTCGGCGACGTTCTTGACCATAACATTCCACTTGGTGCAAGCGCGAGAGATGCCAATAACATCTGCTTCCTGGAAGGCGTCACTACCAATAGCAGTGGTGACCACCTGGCCACAGAAAACGACCAAGGGCGTTCCGTCAGAGAGAGCATCTTGCATGGGCGTGATAACGTTGGTGGCACCAGGACCTGACGTAACCAAGACCACACCCGGCTTGCCTGACGCACGGGCATACCCTTCAGCCATATGTCCGGCGCCCTGTTCGTGTTTCGGGAGGATAAAATCGAAGTGTTTTGAGTTATAGATAGCGTCGAATACGGGCAGGATAGCTCCACCAGGGTAACCGACTGTACACGGTAACTCATGTTAGACAACATTTCCATGCCTTGGCGTCGATCATAAATGCGACTGCAACCTACATATATGCTTGACCCCTTTTCTTAACATCATCTCGTGGAATATCTCTCCTCCGGTTTTGCCGATAAAGCTGGATTTCGATTAACCTATGTCATATGTTCTCGGAGTATTGGAGTGATCACATACGACTCATCCATCTCTGGGGCCCGGGGGTTGACGAGAGGCTGGACATGGCCACGGTCTTTGGCAGTGCTGGCGTTGAACGCGGGCGAGGGGACATCTCTGGCTTCACTATGCGCCAGGTCAAGGAATCAGTATTCTACGTAAGCCATAGCACAGAAGTAGTAACAGGGACATACACGGTGGTCGTTTGAGCTGAAGTCGTCTGATTTCTCACGCCAATGGATCCCTTTTTCGTCGCGGTAGTGGTCGGAATGGAGCTCGAGGCGGGGGAAGGAGTAAAGGGCCGTCGCTGTTGTCGCGAGGCTTGGGCAAGAGCCTTCACAGCCCTGCCAGCTTGTCTGGTACGAAGCATGACTGATTGATGGAAGGGAGGAGCGGCGAGGTTCCACAGATTAGGGTTGCGAAAAGGGGCTTGTATAAAAGAATGGAGGGAAGGAGTAAAAGAAGAAACGAAGAGGTGAACAGGCAGGACGGAAAGGCTTCCCACAATTCCTCAACCTGGATAAGCAAGCCAGTGACTATCAATTCGGACTTCTGGCTTCTGGCTTCTGGCTTCTGGCTTCTGGCTTCTGGCTTCTGACTCTGACTTCTGACTTCAACAACGCCTT